AGCTGGTACGGACCTTAACGCGCTCGCGACTAACGCGTGTATGCGTCCGTGTGTCATCCATCGTGTTGTGTGTGGTCTCGCCCTCTTTCTGCAGATCGATTTGTTGTGACTGATATTGCTATTGCCTACTGCACGGGCTCACCGACGCGCAACCACGTACATCGCACGTATGCACCACCCACACACGAGACGCAGACACGACGGCACTGCACGCACCCTTTGGTTGATGTGTTGTCCAACAGGCACAACGCCTATGTCAAGACGGGCCAATTGTGTGGGGGGATACAAAGCGCCCCGGTTCGCCTCGCGGTCCTTTACTCTACCAAAAGGTAAGTAATTACATGCTGCATCATAACAGTCGACCATCCATCCATCCATCCATCTGTGTCGGTCCATCAATCAGATGATACACATGGTCGGTCCATAACGAAGCCAACCAGACCCTGGCGCCACTCACCATCCCTCGATCGCGCCATCGGCCCGCCCGCGTGAGGTGCCCAGGAAGGCCGGCGTCATCGATCCACCCCCCGCACCGCAGTTGAAGCAGCAGAAGCTTGCCGCACCAATTCCGTCTCTCGTCCCAGCTGCTGCTGCTGCTGCTGCCGCTGGCCAGGCACAGCCACCGGCACCGACCACCGGCAACGGTGACCGCATCGGGCAGCGCATTATGGGAGTCGGAGGGGATGTGGCCGACGAATCGACTGCGTACGGGGCGGCGATGGTCACCAAAGAGCTCGTGCCGAGGCGGGTTGATATGTGCAACCTTGAGAAGGTACGTGAGGGAGCACTGGACGCACCAAGCTGTGACCACCGGTGTGTCTCGTGTGTGCGTGCCTTGGCAGGTGGGCCATGTCAGTCGTCCGAGCCAGCCCACGATGGGCGGGGGAAGGCTGCTTCGGCCGTATCCCGTCCATCACCCGGGATGGCTCAGGCGATGTGTGTGGTGTGGGAGGGAGGCGTAGTCGCTTCGACAATCGTCTCGCCCACCCACACACAACACACATGCCCTCCCTGTGGCTCCCGACCAGCACTGTACCTCACTCTATGACCAAGCCGTAAGCAATCCCCAAAGCCCCAACCCCCCCCACACACGTGTGTCGCGTCCCATGGCTTTCTGTCCATCTCTGTGTTTTGTTCGCCAGTCCGCCACATGCGCGAGTGCTCATTGCCCGTCCCCGTGTGCTGGTCGTGGCCAATCCGACGTAGTGTTAGGGTCATTGGCCTTTCCCAAGCGGCCATGTCACTCGCAAATCGTAAGCACACGTGGATGGATGGATGAATGGCTCAGGATCTGCACATCTTCTATGTGTGTGTGTCCATGCAGAGAGACACCAATCTCTGGCATGACGCCCTGGCTTAGCACCGCTCATTCTCACTCGACAAGCCGTCCCAGCCGCCACTTGGGAGAATCTTCCTTGCAGACAGACAGCGTGCTGTTTGTAGGACGGACTGCATCTGTGCGGGCGGACCGACAAGAACGCCCTTTGCTCACGACCAAACAGCACCCTGATGCTGGTACGAACAAAACCGAGAAAACACCGTACCAGTGCGGTCAAACTGTCAGCCTGCTTCCTCTGCCACAGACGTTATCCTATCCACCGGCGCCACCAAGCTTGCACCTCTCCTCCCTGAGCTCTTCACTCGACGAAGGAAAGCGTTATCTGCGGCCGCCACGGAGCCCTCGCTGGCGTCACCGCCCAACCCATGGCTGCCTCGTCGGATGGATGGATGGATGGGGTTTGCTTATTCCACCTGTCTGTGTGTAACGGATATATGGACTTTTCATGACCGCCTTTGTGCGATTGCGAAGACCAGAGAGTGGCGGGGGCGCTGGAGTGTGTGTGGGTCGTGCCATGATGCTTCTGTAGTGTTGTGCTGGCGGCGTGTATGTGTCGATTCGGTCGTCCCCTCTCCGTCTGGCCGGCTGTCCGTTCCCCTAGTCTGTTCTGCTGCTCGGCACTGGCTTGATTGAATGCCGAGCAGCTCACTGACCGACCTACGTCTCTCGTATGGCTGTCTGGCTGTCTGTGTGAGTGTTGTGTGTCCTTCCTCTGTGTTCTGTCTGTCTTTATAACCCATCGAGCGCCCGTCCATGCCGTCAGCAGTCTCTTGCTGCTTGCACCCTCCCCACACACAACTGGCGACGTACGTGAGGACTGACTCTCGACCGACCGTGGCTGTCTGTCTGTCCATCGCATAAGTGGGGGACGTCTTTCGTCTCTCTGTGTTGGGT